CCCTGCAGAAGACAAAGAACTGAGACTGTTTCCTTCCCCAGATGCTGAGGCAGCACTCACATCGCTCTCGGCCTCTCACCGCTGCCTCGCTCAGGAGCAGGGAGGGACAGGGTCATCTGCAAGCAGGCGGGGCCATGCCCTGAGGAGGCTGCATGGAGGAGGCTCCAGGGGTACCAGGAGCGTGGAAAGCGAACACAGAGCGTGGAAGGCTCTGAAATGGCCAAGTTTCCGGTACTTGAAGGGGGCTCTGGAGCATCCAGGAGCTTCTGGCATGGGCAATGGAGCCACCTCTTCTTCCTGGAATTCATTCCTCAAGGCTCTGCCTCCAGCCCTCCCTCAACGCCCCCTCCCCGAGGTCTCTCCTGCTGCCTCACACCCAGCCTTCCCCTGGAGAAGCAGGACTGCTGCGGCCCGTGGAGGCACTCACTGCGGACAGTTGGCTTTAGGCACGGCCTGCCTGGTCTTCTGGAGAGAGCGGAAGGCACACGGTTTATGGAGATGGAAGGAAACAGGACTCATGCTAGGGAACTCAATTCCCGTGCGCTTTGAAACGCAGCAAGAACGTTCTGAGTGACACCTACTGCACTGCTGGTTTCCCAACACTGTCCCCACTGCCTCAGAGGCGCAGTATGCCTGTTAGTAAGGAGCTGGCAGATCACAGATTTCATTTCACCAACTTGATCCCAGGGCAAAACAGGAGTCCCTCGGAAATTAAACATCCTGCCTAATAAATGGTAACTTGGCAAGGCAGCAGGAGTCAGGCTGGACGGCGAGAGGAGAGACGACTTTGCTCAGAAAACACCTCACAGGGACCTTGCGAAACCAGCCGCCCATCACCGAGCAGAAAGCAACGGAGCCAGTCCACCCCAATGAGGCTTACTTTCAAAGGAAGTCAGAGAGGCCATATTTACATGTGGTCCCAGTTACACATTGATGGATATGTTATATACATAGATACACAGTTCTTTCCCTCTACCTAGTGCTGACTTTCATACACATATAACTTCCCGCATGCCAATTTATTATATAGTATTTACATTCGTGCAGGTTTCAAAACGTTCTGGTTTCCTCCCAGCATCCACGGCCCTCCCTGCCCAGCACGGGGCTAACAGAGGTGCGTTTCCTTATAGTCTCCTCTGTGGGGCTTCTTTGGTGGCTGGCTGGTTTGGTTTGGTGTCT